CTGGTAGCGGTGTTTCTCTGATGGTTCAAATTAATCAGTTACTCTGCATGAGAAAGATGGGCAATCTCCTTCTTTGCAATATACAGCCTTGAAGAAGAATTAGTGCCTTTGAACTGTGATGTTGGAGAGGAGTGCTGAATATCTTGCAGAAAGTGCAGCCAGAATGCTCCTTGGAGGCAAAGATGGCAAAGCTTTGTCTCATACTTAGGGCATGTTGCTAGGAGAGGTTATTCCTTGAAGAGGCATATCATACTTGGAGAAGTGGACGGTCAGCAAAGAAGAGAAAGGCTTTCAAAGAAATGGAGTGAAAACGACTGCAGCAATGGGCTCAAGTGTGTCAGAGATGATGAGAATGGCACAGGATAGGACAGAGTTCAGATCTGTTGTTCATAGGGTTGCTATGAATCATCCTTGACTCGACAGCACCTAACAACAAAAACCCATTGGAAGGTCTGCAATGAGTTGGTTTCAACTCAATGGCAATGAAGTTTTCAAAGTTAAGCTAGGGTATTAGCTGCAGATAAAGTTGTTGTCAAGTGTGGACATTACCTGCATTAGGTCACTGACTCTTGGACAAAGACTAGTTGGCATGAGCTACAGAAGCAGCAGCAGCTGGTGATTAAAAGGAAGGTGGGAGAGAGTTGGAACAAAGCTATTTCCAGTTGTGCATGGGGATGCCATGAACCAGTGGCTAACACCACCACTAATCTAACTTTATTCTTATTTTCTCCTAGTATATACTAGATATTTGAGTCAACTCACTTGTAATTTGTGCCTTTGCTCAAGCTGTGTCTGACTCCTCCAAAGCTTTTATTCTTCTTGGCCGTACATTGACTCCTACCCATTCCCTGCCACGGGCCATGTCTAGGACCTGGGAGAGAATAGGGCTGAAGGGTAAGGCCAGCAGTCCTCTGCTTTCACTGTCCTTCACATTTCTGAAGACTTCCCTATCACACACTGACTCTGAGATAGACAGACTTTTCTGTAGCACCTGCTCAGCTGCACGGGTGTTGCCCCATCAGCCCAAGTGCCCTGGACCATCTAGCTGTAGATGTAAGTAGCTTGTCTTCACTCTCCACTGGATAGACTGTCTCAGTCTCCAAGTCAGGAAGGGGGTAAGGCAGACAATGTCTATTCCCCTGCAGCTTCTGAGGAAAGACTCTCAATCAGGCATGAGTTAATAAAACAAACCCTAAAATTTCTGACAGAGGGATGGTAGGTTTGCCAGACGAGTGGCTGCCAATCTGGGTTTCTGGAATGAATCCAGTGTTCTATAGATTTAAAAACCCTGACTCCTTACTAATCTTAGAAGGCACAAAAACCTCCAGAAAGCTCTAGAGAAGAGCTGCAGGCAGAGAAGGACACGGAAACAGTATCCTGTGTTTCCTTGAACACCAGATAACACAACAAACTCTCAAAATCATCCCCATCTGGATGGATGCTGGATGGGCTTCAGCGGGGATGTAGCAGTGTTTTCCCACAGAAGATCATCACAGTGCACAGTGGGGACATCTTTTTAAAAGTCTCCTGAGAGGAGGGTCCAGTGGAGAGTGAGTGTACCACAGAGATCTCCTCACTCTCCTGCTCTGATCCGTGGCTACTGAGGTGACTGTGCTTGGCAGGAGAGGAGGGGAGGCACCCTCTGTGCCTTCTGATTCCTACCGAGAAAAATAATCACCAGTGTGGGGAGTGGAAGAAGGGGAATTGCCCATTCCATCTGCAGCGGCATGAGAAAGGGGGGGTCTCTCTCACCTCCAGGTTAGAAGGTGGACTGAGTAAGGAATTCCTGCTGTTGACAACTTTCTCTGAGCTGTAGATGGGGGAGTGCAAGCAGCAGGTTTGAATGTCTCCATTTTCACGCCTTGAGCTGAAGGATGGATGTGGGTGGGAAGAGGTAAAAAGCAAAAAAAAAAAAACAAAAAAAAAAACCCACAAAAAACCCAAAACACACAAGAGAAAAGTGAAAAGAAGAAAATGCTAAACAAATCACTGTAGGAAATATTTTTTTTTTTCTCCTGTGATAATACTCTCATCACTATCAGTCCAAATCAACTCATAGCTGATCCTCCAACATGCTATCAATGATCCAGGAAGAGACATCCGTCTTTCTCTTGTGAAGCCTCTAGAGGATCTGAACCACTAGAGATGCTCAGTCTATAACTCAGAGTCCAACTCCTTACAGACTACATACCACTAGAACTCCCTAATGAGATAATAAGGACAATCTAATTATGTTCCTTAATGCGATAATAAGAACAATCTAAACCTAGTTACACATGCCTGATAAGTGGCTGTATACAAAGTACTTGGAGTGTGTCTTTTAGTAATGCTCTGATAATAATTTATTATCAGGTGATAATAAAAATAACAGCCACTGTTTACTGATCATTACTGTATGCCAAAACAAACCAAAAAACCCTTAGACTCCCTGTCATCAAGTCAGATCCCAGCCACAGCGACCCCCCCCCCATCAGTTTAAGGTGGTAAATGATAAAGGGAGGAGGCTATCTATCTTTCTCCCTGACAACCACTGATGGATTCAAACCATTTGAGACTCAAGGCCTTTGGGTTGGCAGTGCCACTCACTACAGGCTATGCCACCAGAAGAACATTCTGCGTGTGTTACTCTATTTAATCTTGCCAACTTCTGGTGATAGTACTATTATCCCTATTTTGCGGAGCAGACAGCTAAGAACTGGAGAGCTTAAGTAACTTGCCTTTCAAATGGAGACTGAAACCTAGGTCTGTGCAATTCCAGAGTCCAATCTTAACTATAACTTGGCTTTTTCCCAGGTCGGGAAGGGAAAGGTGTTGAGGACACAACCCTTACACATCATCTGCTTTGGAGACAGGTACATGCAGACACACTCAGATAATTCAACAGGTCCCACTCATCTTGTGTCTTGATCACAAACCTATCCTCAACTCAGCCTGCACTGATTCAAGTTCTCAGATGAGTAAGTTTCCCAAAAGAACAAAGGTCAAACCCCACTGGATAACATACCTGTCATTTAACCTGGATCTGAAGCTGCAGCAAGGGTTCCTTTTGACAAGATGCGGCCATGGAAGTAAGGCAAAGAATTAGCATCCTGATTTGAAGCTTTGTCATAAAGAATACTCTGCGTGAGACTGAATGCCATTTAGCAGAATGGTTTGTGACATTAAAATAAATGTTCAACTTGTGAGATTCAAGCCCACGAAGAAAGGAAAAGTGACTCCAGGAAACAGTAAGGTACAAATGGTGACAGCTCACAAGAGCTGGCTGCCCTATTTCTCATCTGTCCCATCAAACACTGGCTGGTGGCCCTGCAGCGGCCAGTTCACACAGCTCAAGGGAGCATATAAAGGATATTCCCTGCTGGGAAAGGTACTGAGACAAGGTGCCAAAGCACTGAAGCTGTTTCTTTTCTCCTTCCACCGAGTACGAACTATTCTAGACTTCTCCTTCCTCCCTCTCTCCTCATCCTTCTCTAAGCCTCATAATCCTCTTCTCAATGAACCTTCACAGAGGGAAGGAGGTTGGGGGTAGCGGGAGCATGAAGAAAGCTGGTTTCTGGGATCTGGACAGAGTAAAGGTCAATACCAAGGTCCTCTTCCTCTTGAGCTTTGGATATAGACTACTTAGCTATACTCCAGAACGTTTAAGAAATAAGAGACCTATAAACCACATGCCTCAAGTCACAGCAGCATACAGGCTCACATTTATGAATTAAAGTGATGCAAAGCAGGTGGCCCTTGGTGCACACACAGGAATCCTCACACACAGGCATCTTGGGATGCCACCTTCCCTTTCCACCCACATCTGTAGACCTCTGATGCCCTGTGAACAGGCAGCAGAAAGGCAGTCCTCACACACCTTGTTTATTCCCTGACTGTGAGAGGTGGGCAAGCCCCTTAACCTCTCTGACCTCTTGAGAAATGGAACCATAACTGCTTCTCTAGGTGAGGTGAGAATGAAGAGGACATACTGTAAGGAGGGTCTTTGGCCAAGAGCCTACTTTCATGGCCAGGGGTGAGGTGCCTCCTGTCACTTGACACCCTCCTCCAGGAAGCCTGAGGACCACTCTGGGGTTTCAGGTCTGTACCAGGAGGCTCCAGCAGGCCGGTCACAGGTCTGTGACCCATAGCTAGTCTGCCTCGTGCTGGAGTCGTTGGCATGTAAGGAATGCGAACTGGACCCAGGGGTGGGGGGCTGAGGCCATGATGGGCCGCTGGGGGGTGACAAAAACCGGCGGCAAGTCGACCAAGGCAGTGGGTGGCTTCCTCCTGTTGCTCAGTATCAGGGAGAGGCGGGGGGGGACCTTCTTCTTTTTTTTTTTTTTTTCCTAAGTAAGCATCCACCCACTGCTTCGATAACTATCGATTGTGAAAAGCTGGCGGCACCTCTTAAAGGCGAACCTCGGCTTCCTTACGTCCCCAAGTCTGCATACAGGTCTGCTCTCAACTAGACGACTGGAGAGTGACGGGCGAGCGCCCCTTCACTGACTCGCCTAACAGCCTTGGGAACTAGAACTCTGAGCTTTGGTGTGACACCTTGCCCGTCCACTCCCAGAGGCCCTTCCTTCCCAGAGGCCTGTCACACCCTGGGACCCGTATCCGATCACCTGCTCTGGAGCGTGCTCCATCGCCCCAGGTCGGGAGACTCACTCACCACTCTGAAAGTTCTTTCAAAAGGCAGATGTGTTGCAACCCTCGCTGCTGCAGACTACAGGACGTGGATTTTCCGAATCCGTCCCCGCCCCCATCCAGCCTGGGGGGGGACCCAGCCTGTGCCTTTGCCAAGACACCAGGCTGCACCTCCTCTCCCTCCCTCGCACCTAAGTGCGAAGGGACAAGGTGGGACCTAAAGCAAACTCAGAGCGCAGAGCAGCCCCCCAGACCCTGTCTGGGGAGGATCGGCTTCCCTCCTGACAGTTTGGAGAAATACTCGTGATTTCCAGCCCTAGCCTCTCCTCCCTGGCCCCAGCTCTCCCGTCTGGGCAGCGGCGGCCCCTCAGTACCTGCGGCGGTCACGGGCTCGCCCTCGCTCTGTTCGCCCGAATCCGAATCCATGCTGCGGACTGGTGGCCGTGCGCCCTCCGCCGCTCGGCGTCCCAGCTTGGGCTCGGCGGTGCGCTCCG